GAATTTTATTGTAGAAACTGTAATATGATGGTTTACCAGACTGTTTTCTGCATGCTGTGATGCAAGAGGAGCTCTGGTTATTTCAAAAATAGGACTAAAGTTTTGATTATCTAAACAGTGTGGATAGTTATGCTCTTGTGTGAAGAGTTGTCATGGAGTTCTTGTTATCAGAGGTAAATGTGGAGTGCTAATCAGACCAAAGCAAAAACATTAATGTGACATGATTATGATTGCCTGACACAGAAACAGAACCTTCATAAGACCACAAACCTGAAAATAATGAAAGGGTAATACCTTAAGAATACACTTGTTCCCTCCAGTTCTACAAATAACTACAGAACAAGTAGAATTTCTTAAGTTTTCTACCCCCCTACAATACTGTAAATCAGTGCCATACAAACCTTAGGTCTGATTTATTAGTTATGCAGCTGAAGACATTAAGTGCTAACTAATAATACTAAAAAGTCAAGTCATATTATATATTTAGAAATGCATAGAATTTGCTGAACACAAGGCACTGCTAATAACTTAAACCTGAATACATGATTAGGATACACACTTGGGAACTAGCCAATTAAAATAACCAGGCAGAAAAATTCATTATATAGAGGGTAAGGAACATATTCAATATATAGAAATAGTAGTTTATAATTTTTATAAAAGTAGGCTTTCTTTTTGCATTTTGGCTGTTGGATTTTCAGAGATAAGGAGATACCGTCCAACATTTATAGGAAATATGGAGACATTTGGTATTATCAAAGAGGAAAGGAACCCTACTTGAAAAAGTCAAATATAACTAACTAATGACAAATTTGATCCTGTGTTGCAGTTATTAATATAATAACTAAGGGGTCCAAAAGGACCACGAGACACCAACGTGGTGTGTAACGGAAGTGAGTTTATTCAAAGAACCACAGTTTATATAGCAGTTTCAAATGCTGACACGTCACACAGGTAACCTTTTCAGCCAATCCCTTCAAGCATCCAACTGAGCATGTGTGACAGAGTATTCAGAACTACAACCCCCAGGATGCTTTGCAGCACCTGGTGTAACTAGACACCACATTCCCCCCGTTTTTATTAAAACACAAAGTACAAAACAGTGTAAATTCAAAAAATAGTGCAATTCTTAACAAAACAGTTTTTGACATTGTAAACTTATTTCTTGTGTAAACCTTCTACACTTAAGAGTTCTATATAATAACAAAACTTTATTAATTAAAACCTTATTTACCTAAGAGTTCTATGCAATAACAAAACTTTATTAATTAAAACCTTATTTACCTAAGAGTTCTATGCAATAACAAAACTTTATTAATTAAAACCTTATTTACCTAAGAGTTCTATGCAATAACAAAACTTTATTAATTAAAATGTTATTTATCTAAGAGTTCTATGCAATATCGGGGAAAACTTACTTTATTAGAACATAAGGAAAAGGTTAAAGGAAGAACATCATGTTCTGAGTTCTTTTTCAATGAGATTTGGCAGAGGTAGTGTATGTTGTGTATGTTTGTTTCATATATAAGGTGCAGTATGGTTCACATACATTCATACATTCACACAATCTCTCACTCATTCTTAGGCGGCCGCCTCCACTCTCTCTTTATTCATGCATACTTGTAACCTTTGTTTTATATTTTCAGCCCTATAAGTGAGGTGTTATGTTGAAAGATTATTTGTGTGTTTCTATATCTTCATTTACTTCATTTGTCATTTGTGTTGCTTGCTCCTGCTGTGAAAGAGACTTAAGATATGGCCTTACACACCTGGAAGGAATCCACCTCAATTTAGTACCTTTAGAGATACAAGCGTACCCTCTTCCCCATGTCACGAGGTCCACCGGTCCTGACCACTGTCCTGTTACAATGTCTTTTATCATGACCGGTGGTTTCTGAGGGGAGTGTACCTGAGTTGTGTGTTGGCGTTCATACCTAGTACAGTCTGTATCATCACAATTTAAGAAATTTAGGACATATGTCGCTTTCCACAGGCGTTCCTGTGGGCTGAGGATGGAGTCCCCCTTTTTTTGTTTTAGCAGCATTTCCTTCAGTGTGCGGTGTGCCCTTTCTACAATTCCTTGCCCCGTGGGTGAGTGAGGTATGCCTGTGGAATGAAGGATACCCCAGTCCGTTAGAAATGTTTTAACCTTTAAAGAACAGTATGCAGGACCATTATCTGTTTTTATGCTTTTGGGAATTCCTAAAGTTGCAAAGCAACTAAGCCAGTGTTTGATAACATCTCTTGCTTTTTCTCCTGTGTGTGCAGTAGCAGTAATGTATCTAGAATGGGTGTCTATTGTAACATGGACATATTTTAGTTTACCAAATTCAGCTATGTGTGTCACATCCGTTTGCCAAATTTCATTGGCTGTTACACCTCGGGGATTAACCCCTTCTTTAGATGGCATCGGGGCAATTTGCTGACAGTCAGGACATGACATGATTATATCTCGAGCTTGATTGATTGTAATTTGGAATTGTCTTTTTAGGGAACGTGCATTTTGATGAAAAAACAGGTGTGAAATTTTAGCTTGCTCGAGAGCTTTGGGTACTGTGATGGTCATAGCAGCAGCATCTGCTTTTTGGTTACCTTCCGCTATGGGACCTGGCAAATCTGTGTGGGAGCGGACATGCATTATGTAAAAATCAAATTTTCTGTGATTCACAAGGAACCATATAGTGCGTATTTCTGCAAACAGAAAAGGGTTAGTGATGTCTCGTAGGAAAGAAGCTTCGAGACGCGAAACTAAACCTGCAGCATAACATGAATCAGTAATAACATTAAGTGGTTGATCAGAAAACAGTTCAAAGGCTGTACGGATTGCAGCAAGTTCTAGGACTTGTACAGAACCTTGGTTTATGGTCCGTACTTTTTTGTTCCACTGTCCAGTAATAGGGTTTACCCATGTTACCACAGCTTTTCGTGACCGTCCAGATGCATCAGTGAAGACAGTGATGCCTTCCACAGGTTGTGGCTGGCAGCGGCGTGCAGTCATTAGAGGCAGATTCCCCACTTCTGCCCAGAGTCTGTGTTTGGGGAAATGGATAGAAATGTCACCGTTGTAGTCTGCCAACGCAGTCTGGAAGCCAGCATCCTCTGCAAGTAGCCAGTCCAGGTTGTCCTTTGTTGCTGGAATGTAGATGATCTCAGGGTCCTGTCCTTCTAGCTCCTGTAGACGTGCTCTGCCTTTAATGATAAGCTTAGAGAACATTTCATTAAAGGTCCAAACAGTTTTAGGTGGCGAGTGGGGTAGAAATAACCATTCAAGAATCCTGAGAGGGTCAGATTCCATCTGATCCCATTGAAACAGTACGGCAAAAGGCTGGAATGTGCTGGAGACAAGTGCAAGGCGGATGTGTAGGTCAGGGTGTCGCCGCCTGCCTTGCCTGTTTTCAATCGCTTGAGAGCATATTTTCAGGGACTGTTTAGCTGCAGCTGTCAGAGACCGTGTGGAGGTTAAAATTGGGTCTCCCTTGAGTAATTCAAAGAGAGGGTGCAGTTCCTCTGTGGTTATCCCCAGTATCGGTCTGAGCCAGTTAATAGCTCCTAATATTCGCTGCAATTCATGCAATGTTAGTGTGTCTTTTACCTTAAGAGTCAGCGGCTGTGGCATGATTTCCTGCTGTGTGATTCTCCATCCAAGGTAGGCCCAGGGTTGAGTCTTCTGGATCTTTTCTGGAGCGACCTGTAACCCTGCTTCTCGAACAGCATTGGTTAGAGCGGTCATAATAGGTGGTAGATCAGTTTTTAGGGCAGTAGCTACTAGGATATCATCCATATAGTGATAAATGACAGCAGAAGGGTAGAGTTCCCGGACAGGGCGTATGGCTTTGGCAACTACTGTCTGGCAAATAGTCGGACTATTCCGCATGCCCTGTGGGAGAACGACCCAATGAAACCTTTTCATAGGCTCTGCATGATTGAGGGCAGGAACTGAAAAGGCAAAGCGGGGGGCATCACTTGGATGTAGGAAAATGGTGAAAAAACAGTCTTTTAAGTCAATTACCATCAGTGGCCATCCTGCAGGGAGCATGGCAGGTGAGGGAAGTCCTGGTTGTAGTGCCCCCATTGGCTCAATGACTGCATTGACTGCTCTAAGATCTTGTAGTAATCGCCACTTGCCACTTTTCTTAGGGACACAGAATACTGGGGTATTCCATGGGCTAGAAGTCGGTGCTATGTGGCCAGCATCCAGCTGTTCTTGGACTAAGTTTTGCAGTTGAACAAGCCGTTCCTTTTTCAAGGGCCACTGATCGACCCAAACAGGGTCCTCTGTTTTCCATGTCAGTTTAATAGGTTCGTGGAACGGCTGATCAATGGCCCTTAGTGAAAAATCTGAGTGTCTTTTGTCTGGTTATCTTCTGCCGCAATGTATATTACAGTGCCAAATTGACCCAAGACATCCCTTCCCCACAGGGTACAAGGAATGGGAGCTATGAAAGGTGCAACTCTAGCTATCTGTCCTTCTGGTCCCAGCACCGTGCGCAGCTGAGAACTTTGCCTGGGTTTTTGCATGCCTCCCACCCCCTGAATAGATGCTGCAGGGAACACCGTGGCCCAGTCAGATGGCCACTCTGTATCTTTTATGATAGTAACATCAGCTCCCGAGTCTACCAAGCCTTTAAACTCGCGCCCGTCTATTTGGCAAACCAGGATAGGCTGAGAGGCAGAGACGGTTTCTGACCAAAATATTTGTGGCTGACCTGGGCTCCCAAAAGCCCCAGAGCCTCTCCCTCTCTCCCTCTCCCCAGGTGCTGACAAGCTGTAGAAGGGTATTAGCTGAGCCAGTCTCTGCCCTTCAGGTATGTAGCAGGGCGGTACTGGTGTCCATGCCATGATTTGGATCTCACACAGAGAATCCGAATCAATCACTCCGGGTAAAACAAACAATCCCATCCTCGTGGTTGAGAAACGGCCGATTATGAGGCCGTGCATTCTCGGGCCTAGGGGTCCCCACACCCCAGTAGGCAGTAAAACCACATCTGTGGATGTTATAGTTACTGGCTTTCTGGAGGCCAGGTCCAGGCCAGCGCTTCCTGTGGTGGCTGCGAGCAAATCGCGGGCATATTGTTTGGGGCCGAATTTATTTGATTGCAGGGGGCGCGCGACCTCGCGCCCCGCCTGTAGTTTCCCGAGAACGCAGGACTGTTCCCGTGGTCAGCTCGCGACCTACAGGTACAAGCCCATTGCTTTCCCTTACAGCATTTGTGGTACGCTGTGAAGGGGGGTTTTTTAGGGCAATTTTTAATGCGGTGATTAGTTGACCCACATCGATAACAGCAACCCTTTTCTTTTTCCCCTTTATTTAATGTTAGCTGGGCAGCTAACGCCGTTGCAATGGAAGTAGAGTGGTGGTCGACAGATCCCACATTCTGGCAAGCTCGCACCATTTCAGCAATCGTGCAGCTTTCTCTTTTCGGTAGGGATTGCAAAGCTCGCCTGCAATCATTATTTGCATTTTCATATGTGAGCTGTTTAAAAAGCAACTCCCTGGCAGTGTCATCATCTACCTGTTTGTTTAGGGCAGTTTGTAGCCGATCAAGAAATTTTGGGAATGTCTCAGTGGCTTCCTGTAAGACTTTTGCAAACGACAAATTACTGTCTTTGTCTGTACTAGGAAGCTTTCGCACTGATCTTAAAACCATTTTTGATATGACTTCATAAATCTCTCGTGGATAGCCAATTTGTGCCCCGGGAGCTGAGTAAGCCCCCTCACCCACTAGGTGATCAGTAGTCATGCCTGCCTGTAAAGCACCCGGTTCATTTGCATAAGCAATGCAGCTTTCCCGAAAGTCTGAAAGCCATACAGAGTATTGGGTAATGCTTAAGGCCATTTTTAACAGTGTTTTCCAGTCATGGGGGGTAAATACATATGTGCTACCCATCGTCTCCAAATAGGAGAACATATGGGACGAGGAAACACCGCTTTCTTTAACTATTCGCCTCAGATCCTTAGTCACCTCATACGGTAAGCTCTGGAACTGAGGGTTTTGCCGCGGTCGGTATACTACTGGGCATGCACGTAGTATTTCCCAATCGCCTGATTTGACTGCTTCCTCTCGGCATCTATTCCAATTTCTCGCATGCGATTCTGCATTCATAGATCTGTCCTCGGTCAGAGCCATCGCATATAACCCTTCTCCCGGGTCCTCCCCCGTGTCACTGTACTCTGTGCCGTCACTATCGGCCTCTGCCACAGGCACAGTACAAATTTGCCGCTCTACCGGAAGGGGAGGACACCCTCCCGCCGCGTGGCCGGTGGAAGATGGCCGTGCCACCGGAAGAGAAGGGTACCCTCCCGCCGCGTGGTCGGGATAGCATGGCTGCGCGGGCGGAAGAGGGAGGCTCATTTCCTGTTCCCTGGGGGAACAAGATGGCGCTGCCCTTGCAGCCATGTGCTCGCCATGTGGCTGAGAGCCTGCCACGGGCAAAGGGTACATGCCCGTCTGCACACACTCCCCCCGGCCCTCTCGGCGCAAGCCCGCTGGACGTTCCCCGGTGTCAGTCCCTCGGCCTGAATACCGTGCTTGAACCCCCGCTGCAGCCCCGCGGTTTGAGTCACGCACCCAGCCCAGCTCGCTATCTCCCGGACCCGCGCGCCCGCGAGAAGCTTGCTCTGAATTGTAACCCCTATTGTTTCCCTCCCGTCCGTGGCTGCTGTGAAACCGCACTCTTTTATCAACAAATCTTTCACTATCCCAGTTTCTCTCCTCCCTCCTGCCCGACAAGCCCTCCCCGCCGCCAGTTTCAGTATCACTTTCTACTTGTATAAGGATAGTTTCTGGACCAGGGTTTGGGGGGTGGGAGGGATGTCTAGAGTTTAATCTCGCGGCTGAACTTGCCTTTTTGTGTGCGGCTATTAAGGTGTCCATCACTCGAGACCATGCAGGCAGATTTCTAAAAGCCTCCATATCTCCGAGCAGTGCCTCATGTCTCAATGTCCTTCCGATATTCTGCCATGTAGTTATGTTTAATGCTCCAGCCACTGGAGTTCTTGGTAATGTGGCTTGTATCCATTGTAATAAGTTCACTAGTTTCTCTTCTTTAATCTCCCCTGAATGTCTCTTCAATAATGAATTTAAAGCTTCTGCATTCTCCTGTAGTTCACGTGACTTTGTGGATCCCATTTTCGGCTTTTCTGCTGGGACAAAGGCACGGGTTTCTTCTTCTTCTTTCTTGTTTCTTGTTTCTTCTTTCTTCTTTCTTCTTTTTTCTCGAGAGCGTCCTCTCAAAACGTAGGCAATTTCCTACCGAGTTCAGGCCTTTTTCTTTTGCGCGCTTTCTCCGAGCTCACTCGCCCATCAAAGGACTCCTTCCTTTGGTACCTGGCGTTTGCTTTTTCACGGCGGACGTCCCTCAGCATTAACTAGAAGCTGGTACCTGACGTCTGGTCCGTAGTCTCCCCTGATTCAGGGAAAGGTTTAAGCCCCTGGTCGGGCGCCAAAATCCTGGTCCATGACCAGACCAGGACTTTTACATGGTGACTGTTCATCAGTCAATCTAATATGAACTGGAAAACAATGACCCAGAGTAGATGATCCTGTGAAACCCATCTACTACAAGGAACAGCTGCTTGGAGAAGGAAAATATATTATCAGCATCTACTGACAAGTAATGATAAGTCATTATTGAACAGCTATTTCTAAATATCAAGATGTATTCCATCAATTTCTTCTGCTTTGAGTTGTTTTTGCCTTAGTCAATCCCTTAACTATGCAATGTGTATTTGTTTTTGTTAACTAGGAATTTGGAAAAAATAGATTTAAACATTTCAATTATTAAATGAATGCCAGAAGTTGTTTAAACATTCTGAAATGACAAGGATAATCTAAAAGCAGTTATGTAACTGGAGCCTCTGGTGGTCTAGTGGTAAAGGCGCGGCGCTGTCACCACCGAGGCCCGGGTTCGATTCCTGGTCAGGGCCACTCCGGGCAGGTGGAGCTCGTTAGCCCTTAAAAAGGCAATCCATCTACGTCCTAAGGACCTCGCTGCCACCGTCCAAGCTCGCTTGGCCCCAGCAGATGAACCTTAGGATTAAAGGGTGGGCTCAGTTCCGCGCACACTGTGTCTCACCTAAAAAATCCAATGCGCAGGCTGGAAGGTGGAAAGACTTTCCCCAGATCTTCGCTCTCGAAGACTGGCCATTATTATTATTATTATTATGTAACTAGTGATTGCAACCAGAAAACTCCATCATGAGAGTACTTGTTTAAAAGAGAAGACAAAACATACTACTATTTCATAAAGATTCTTCTTGTCTCACAAAGATGTGGATCAAAGGTATCTATGTAACATCAAAAACTAGTCAAAGCATGTTTTAGAAATATTATGTTGCAATATCTTTCAAAGTAAAGCACAATCATAATATGTGATGTCTTGATGATGTCTTGATTATCAGCGGTGTTCAAAATCAAGTGAGCCATTCTCTTCAATGAAGAGCAATGAAAGGATAGAAAACAGTTGCCTGCGTAGAAAGACTAAAGCTATATAAAGACGTTTCATACCCTAGATATGAAGGCAAATTTCAAGTGCTGGAAAACATAGATAAATCAAGTCTGATGGCTATCGTAGGAATTTAATCAATATTTTCCCAAAGTCAAGATGAATGACTAATAACTTTCTGCAGGGACCAGGAAATAGACATTTGTATCTTATGCCATTAAGTAGAAGAGTCGGCGAATAAAGACTGGAATGTAGAAGAGATGTACAATGTTTGTCTACAGTTTCTCTGAAATACTGCATAGAACCCAGAAACCATAGTACATAGAATACTGATTTCAGAGAGTAACACAATCCTAGAGTCACAGAAGGGCTGAGGTTATAAAGAATCTCTAGAGATCATCTGTTCCAACTCCCCTGCTACAGTAGGGTCACCAAGATCTGGTTGCCCTGGACACTGTCCAGAAGCTTTTTAATGTCTCCAAAGTGGGAGACTTCACAGCATCTCTGTGACACCTGTGCAAGTGATCAGTCACTCTCAGAGTAAAAAGGTGTTTCCTGGTGATCAGAGAGAATCTTCTGTGTTTCAGTTTGTGCCTGTTCCCTCTGGTCCTCTCACTGGGCACCACTGAAACAAGCTTAGCTCTGTCCTTCGTAATCTCCGTAACCTAGAATCCCATTTTCTTGAGCAATGGGAACATTTACTCAAATTTCCTTTTGTCATCTCTATCCTTCTTGATGTCTCTGACATCTCTGACCAGGTTCAGTTCCATTTGGACTTTAACATTTCTAACTTTATCTCTGGATTCAACCCCAGATGTAGCTTCCAGCTACTTCAGCTGCTCTCTCACATGAAGTGCAACTATCCCTCCTTGTATTCCCCTTCTGTCCTTCCTAATAAGACTGTATGCCTTCACTGCAACAGTCCAGTCCTGGGAACCATATGCAATGTCACCACAATCCCAACTTGATCAAAGCCCTGCAACACCACACTATCATGTTTATTCCTCATGCTACCTGCACTAATATACTGACACTTGAGTGAGCCATCCCAATGTGTTGAGTTCCTGGAAAGGGTTGGGAGATCTCCCCATAATGGTACTTTTTTGGGCACTTTCTTGCTTATGTGCAAGTGCTGGAGGTCACCCTGCTTAATTGCTTTTACAATGATTTTTGTTATTTCTTCCTTGTGTCTCCCTATGCCTTTTGCCCAATTGACCCTCCCCATAGTTCGTTTGCAGGGTGCTACCTGCTCTCTCCTTTCCTCACCATTCTTAGTTTAAGTAGTTGTTAAATGTTTCTACTCAGCTTTAGAAAGAAGGCTCCATAAATAACATAACATGCAAATAAGGAGTGAGAATATTTGTAGTTTGAATACCTGATAGTTAGATACTTGAAGACATGAAATATTATGAATCTAATGTGGAAAAAGTGGTAGTGTGATTTAAACAACCTTTACTGTTACATATCAACTAGATAATTGTTCTTGTCATATATTCAAATTCAAATGAAATATTTAAGCCTTATATATCAAACATTCCATTTTAATAACATAAATAAAACCATTCTCTGATATTCTTTAAGACATTATTTTCTGGAGGTATATTTCAGCTCTACAAATTGTCAAGAAGGTGGGATCAAAACAATCAGAACAATAATGAACCTGATCTTTTGTCTCAGTTAATTTGTAAACATTCCAAGATCTTGACAACAGACAGGCTGAGAGTCAGCACAGCTCATATAATTCCAGCCACTGGGTTAACATTTCACTGGTCTTCAAGATAAAGTCCTCGTTCTAACATACTACAATTTTAGGAACAGCAAACCCTTATTCTATTTGCCCTTACTCTAATAATTCCTAAGCACTTTAAAATGTCTGTTAAGTTCAGGACATATCTGTCCTTTAAAAAATTACAGAACAATAGTTTACAGCAGTCCAGGACTGCAGAGGTTGGAGCTGTTCCATTTCCAATAAGCTTTACAGGCCCCCAGTCTCCCTCTGATGAATTGTTGAACTAATGACTAAAAGTTTGTCCTACTAAATAAATTCAAATTGTGTTCACCTCTACCTGACCAAAATATGCAGCAGCAAAAAAAGTTAAAAAGAGCAGCAGTGTTACATTCCAAAGGAGAAAAAATTCTTGACAATCAGTTAGTGTGGCTGTCTTTAAATCCTGTATTTATGATCTTTTCCCTTTTGCACAGAGCTTGAAGACTATTTGCCAGCTGTATTTCCTAAAAAGGTATGTTCTTATATAACTTCATAGACAACTGCTGATTACACTTTTAAAGATTCCTTCTTCTTTCAGTGTCTTCTCATTGAACATCCTTGCTCCAAAGTCTCCAAGTGAAGTAAACTTAACAACATTTCAGCCAAAACTGTGTCTCAAACTAAGTATTTCAACAAAAGTTCACCACTGATTCTCCCCTGCTCAGAGACAAATGTAAGCATCATGGGGATCAAACAATCACACAACAGCAGAGCACTGATCATCCAAGCTGTAATAGTTCTGTCATTCGACACCACAAAGCTTGAGGAGATCCTGCAAGGTGTGAGCATTTGGACAAACACCAAGCTGTTTTCTGAAAATGCTTATGTCATTCTGAAATGGTGCTGAAGGCCATTGCCAGGGATAAATAAACAATCTGAGGACCACTGCAATAGTAAAGACAGAGTCCCTGTAAACCTCCTGGGCCATGGGACATAGGTATCTTTTGAACACTGTGACAATAGTCTCCCCTTCACTATTCCATTCTGCCTCAACTTAAGTACAACTAACACACTGAGTAATTAAAAAAAAAAAAGGTGCAAATTACTCTGTCTTACCCTCAGACATGATCAGACAGAATCACCATGTAAAGATAAACATCTGATTGTCTAAGCTGGAAAGACAGAGGAGAAAATGTTAATCACTTTATTAAGCTATACATTCAGACATAAACCCTCCTTGAGTACATAGGTTTCTTCTTGCATTCTTCCCATTTCAGAATTGACTACATATACTTGTTACAATTAGTGGATCTCAACTTTTAAATATTTTACACTTTTTTTTATTTGATCATTGAAATCTCTCCTGTAGTATTGATGCATTTGATAGAGGAGTGTTACTCCAGTATAGAAGTTGCAAACTTTGTCTATCCAATATTTTGTCTCTTTTATTCCAAGAGACTAAGTATACATTTATAGTGCCTGAAAACTATTCTTTAAAAAAATGTGCACTTTAAGTCCTTAACTAGTACTTGAGTGTGTTCATTACAATAGATTTTAAAAGAACAGTTGTGGGGTTTTTCTATTGAACACAAGTGACCTTACCTTAAGAAAAGGATAAAGTATTACATGTATTTTGAGGCACTCATATTTCAATAGCTAAAGGAAGCAGACTCAAAATACAAGGGAATTTAAAAATGGCTTATGATATATGTGTACTGCTTCACTGCTGGTCACCTTTTGTACAAATATAATCTCCATATGATTAAATCAAATCCACATTGGTCAAAAATCTATAACTAAATAACTATATAAGACAGTTACTGAAAAAGGCTATTTCCTTTAACACAGTTCTTTATTTCAGACTGCTTAAAGGCATTGTAAGAAACAGTATTTAGGTAATTTTCATTTTTAAGTAGTTTTTATGTGCAACCTGTTAGAAATAAAACTTTCCTATAGTGCCCATAAAAGTTGAATTAG